GCCTCAGTTTTCCGAGACACTCTCTCGACTAATGGGTCAGAGGCTAATGCAGGGGGGTGGTAACGGAATCGGCTATAATGCAACACAAGGCCTTTATTGTCTACCCCGTTCTTCCAGAAATTTCTAAGGCTTCTGACTACTCACTCATCCTCAGCCAAGCTTCCTTCTCAACTGCCTCTGCTCAGTCCTGCCCCCACCCAAAGGCCCCCTCCCCATCCTATCCTCCGCCCCACCCAAGGGGACCAAGTGCCACTGGAGCATACTTCCCAATCTGCCCCTTCCTACAGGAGCAGAGTTCTCTCTCCTTAAACCCCACCCACCCCCTCTCCCTCCCCATGACAGGTTCCATCTTTTCCTGCCTCAGCAAGAGAGAGAGAGACTTTCTGGGCCCCTCCCTGTAGCACAACTTCCACTTTGCTCCTAACAGGTGAAAATAAACCCAGCTCCTTCTTACGTCCCCACTTCACCTAACAGTCTCAGCCATGCAGGCTGGCTCTAAGCTGTGTCTTTCCAATGCATGATCTTGCCTGACCTCCTAATCCACATACTTCCCCATGGCTGCCCCCACCCCCACCCCCATTCACTCAGCAAATATTTATTTGGCCCTAGTTCTGTGTCAGGCATTGTTTTAGTTGCTTAGGGTACACCAACAAATGAAATAAATACAGATCTCTGCCCTAAAAGCAAAGACATTTTATGCAGGGAGGGAAGAAGTGGAGGAAGACAGACAATAAGCAAGATACATGATAGGGCCGGCCTAGTGGCGCGTTAGGAGCTGGCTTGGGATGCCAGAGGGCCTCGATTCGGATCCCACATATGAGGGCCAGTGACACTGCCCTCTACAGCTAAGATGCTGAACAACAGCTCGACCTGGAGCTGGGCTGCTGTGAGTCGCCGGCTACGGTGTAGGCTGCAGTCCCCTGCTGCAGTGGGTTGCCATGGGCTACCAGGTTTAGCCGGCAGCCAGCGTGAGCGGCCAGCAGCCGCAGTGAGAAGCCAGCGACTGATCTGCCTCGCCCGGGAAGACCGTAATGATGGTGCCAGCTTGGGCCAGTGAAGCAACATCCTCCACAGCTAGACTGAAGAACAAAAACAACAGCAACTTGTCTGTTCCCCTCCCCCAATTCCCCAATAAAATCTTAAAAAAAAAGATACATGATAAATAACTGAATTTTCTATGATGTTACAATGGGATGAGTGTCATGGGGGATCAGGGCCAGGGTGTCAGGGTGGGCATGCGGGATGAGGACTGAACTGGGTGGTCTAGGTAGACCTCATCAAGTTTTGAGCAAGAACAAATTGAAGGAGTTGAGAGGGTGAAACAGACGTCTGGAGGTTCCTGGAAATTAATCCACTTCTGAAAAAAAACCTGGAGGCAGGGTCCCAAGAAGCCATCCCCTGCTTCCTGCACTTAAATAACTGCATGAGTTCTTTACTTCCTATAAAATGTACCCATAATAAATGATCACACACCCAGTGGCTTAAAACAACACATATTCCTTATCTCACAGTTCTGCAGGCCAGAAATCCAGGTTTGCTCAGGTGGGTTCTCTATTGAAATCGAAGTGTCACCACCTGGCCTCTTTTGGAGAGGCTGTGGGAAGAGTCTGCTCACAAGCTCATTTGGGTTGTTGGCAGAATCCGATCCCCTGGCGTTGTGAGACTGGGGTCCCCATTTCCTTGCTGGTTGTCAGCTGTGGGCTGCT